CTCCGAAACACTGAGACGTCACATACTGAAAGACAGCAATCGCCATGCCAGCCTCTAACGTTCCATTCGTAACAAAATGTTTGTATCACATTCTGTAACGCCGATCACGGTGGCCGCGCGGTCTAGGACATGAACGGTCTTCGCTCGCTCGAACATTTGGATCGTGGGTTCTAATCCCAGTAAAGGCATGGATGTCTGTGTGTGCGTTTATTCTGTGTTTATGTTGTCCTGTGTGTAGGCAGCGGCCTTGCGACGGGCTGATCACTCGTCCAAGCAGTCCTACCGTCTGTGAAAAAAGATCACGAAACTGAAGAAGAGGCCAGGGGCCCAAAAAAGAGCTGTAGGGCCATTGATGAATAAATAAAATTCTGTGGAATTATTTTCTGTAAGAATTTTAATAATCGTGAGAAACTAGTGAATATGGTAATTTGTTTTTATATGACGTAATAATTGACCAATTAAATATAAACCTACCGAGTGTCGTAGTTTGTGCCTGTTTCCTATTTACCGTCATATACTGACAGAGGCTTACCGTGGTTTTCGTAAGTACCTACAGCCACAACGCCTGTCTTTCAGATCCTTCTCAAATACCTTCGAAAGTAATTTTACAATTGGAAGCTACCCACTTTATGTATTTAAGAAAGAATCGCTAATTAAACTAAAAAAAAATATGCATAAGGCAGGCCTGTGTAAATAAACATTTATATATATAAAGCCATAGTTTGATATTTTTTCACAAACGACGAATCGTACTGAAATATGATAGGCCTATTTGTTTACTTGTCGGTCACGGTAGCCGAGCGGTGTAAGGCATGTACTGTCTTCGCTCGCTTTGAAACCGGGATCGTGAGTTCGAATCCCACAAAGGAATGGATGTTTCGTGTGTCTGTTTATTTTGTGTTTGTGTTGTCCTATGTTCAAGTAGAGGGCTTGCGACGAGCTCATCACCCGACCAAGGAGTCCTGCCGTCTGTAAAATGATCATGAAACTGAGAAATCAGCCCTATTGCTCCAAAGTGGGTGCAAGAGGAGAGAAAAAATTTGTTTCTTTACATCTGTTCTCTGAGTTATACCTAAGACACTTTTACTCGGAGAATGCTACCTTCTGGTATTTGACGTTGTAGTCAGGTAAAATGTAGCCGACATACTGCCTCCATCTTCAGGGACGAATTAAGCCAGGAAGAAAGAGGAAGAAGCAAGCAGATTACGCTGAATACACTTCCTGTTTGCTTGTTATAAGTTTTTTGCTTACCATATCTTCTGCAAAGGTTACTGAACTACCAGACTACATGGTGTCACATCCCACAAGGTAGAAACTCATAGTTACCGCTGTGTGAACCTCAAGTCCAGCCTTCTCACTGAGGTTTCAACAATGCACATGGGTCCAGCCTAACAGACCGAACAGCATTTAGACCAGAATGTTATGGGACCCGACTCTTCATACGCCTGAAGAATCATTTGGACCCCTCTAGTTCGGGTATGCGGTAGCGTTGTTGGTTGAGGTACTATGCACAAGCCGGAAGGCCGCGGGTTCGAGTTCGAGGTGGATTTATTCAATTTATCTAATCCTTCCAGCTGCACTATGGCCCTGGGATTGACCAAGCCTCTAACAGAAACGAGTACCAGGAATCTTCCTGGGGGGTAAAGGGTGGCCGGCGCGTAAGACTGACAACCATACCGCCATCTGTGAGCCGATTGTCTAGGAAATGTGGGAGCCTCGACGTCTCACAACCCTATCGGCTTTCAAGGCCTGTTACAAGGATAGCGTTACCTTTTTTGATTCCTCTAGTTACCTCGTAGCCATTTTAATATATACCCTTTCTTGCCTACATCCACGGAACAGTTACACTTCTGTGAAAATATAAACTTAACTCATGACCAGGGCCCGGATTTTGATGACCTGAAAATATTTAAAAAAAATACCTATAAAATGACCGAAAAAATCCAGAAAAATTACCTAAAATATGACACAATAATGTAATATGCAGGGCCCGGATTTTGATGACCTGAAAATATTCAAAAAATGACCGAAAAAATCCAGAAAAATGACCTAAAGGAGAAAAGAAAGAACACTTCGCTTCCATGTTATTCACATTTCAGAAAACATATGAAGAAAAATTCCCTAAATGGCCAAAAATACCCTTAAAAGTCCAAAAATTTACCAATAAATTACCCCCAAAATGAAAAAATGACCTTAAACCTAAAAATGTCAAAAAAAATACCTATAAAATTTACATTTCTGTAAGCAGCAGCTCATATCCGAGATGTATATGTTTAAGAGCATCGCATAGGATACAAGGAAGAAAAGATGACATGTCATCAAAATCCGGGCCCTACTCATGACAATACAGTTAAAATCAAATATAGACTATCACCGTCTTGGTCACGTGGCACGTTAAGTGCTGTTCTTCAGTTCTTGAAATAATCGGTAACGGGGTTCTGTAAGAAGCAGTTCTCATGCAGCACAGGAATGTTCGTGACTATTATGAAGTTTTGCGACATCTCATGCGAACCGACCCCAGAACATGATGCGAAATTATTTGCTATTTTCAAACTTCATATATATTTCCACAGTACACAGACATGCACTAGCAGGAAAATCGTCTATGCAGTTATTACTAATTATATACAGTAACTTAGCTACGTGTTTCAGTCTTCTTGGCCGTCATGAGGATGCAATACAACAATAGTAGCAAAATTGTGCTTAACAACGCTATAGAGACGTATGGGGGAGTGAAGGTATAGCTCCACCATTCTTGACTTCGGCACTAGGCTGAAGTTAGTGGTCAGATTCACGCGCCGGTCGCTTCATCGCCGGGGAAACAGCCCCCAGTACCCATTGGATATGAGGTCGGTTGGGTCTGGATCTTATGGAGAAGAGAAGCGAGGAAGAGCAGAAGTCTCAGCCGGGATATCCCGTCTTAGGACTTGTATTCGAACCCAAGACCTACCGAATAGGAAGAGTGACAGCCGCTCGACCGTGACAGCGAACTCAGCATAATGGGTTCCGCATGCTACCTTTCGGCCTGTGCAGGGAATACTGCTATGCGTGAGAAGAGGACCGGAGGATGGGGTGGCTGGTATCCATTTCATTAAAGCAGTGCCCGAAATGCGAAGAGCAAACAGTCCTCTCTGTCTTTGCCGGTAATGAAACCGCGGTCGTCCAGCCCGTGACTAGTAATGTTATGACTGGGCAATTCCCCTTCACGTTCTAGAAGATGAGATAATAATTAAGCTCATTTCGCAGACTATTGTAACCCTCTGTTCACTCATGACGTGACAATTACCTCCGGTCATCACATTGACTTCTAGAACCTGCAACTGAAACATTGTATTTACATGCTGGATTCCCATCTCAGTTTCACAGAATACAATGGAGGCCACTTGTAGATCTCTCTGTGATCTTACCGACAGTATCATCGCGAGTTGATGACGGGCGAACAGCTCTGATTTAGCTCCTCTTACGTGATTAAGTCTCATTTGAATGACGGGTCCTGTAATTTTCTGTTCCTTCAGGCGCAGCTGCAGGCGTTGAGGCAATGGAGTAAGTGATTGTGCGCAGGCGCTAGAAGTCAGAGAACTTGACGCGACGAAAAGAAATTGAATAGTTTATTCTAAACAGTACAAGGTGATGAGTTACCAGTTCAGTTTCTGAAAGAATACTCATGAAATACCAGCTTTATACGCACATACGTGGGCACCCCCAGAATAACGCGCGAATGCAAAGATTTGTTTCCATTCAACTCGGCAAGAACACAGGCATGCCACTAAGATACCACCGAGCAGGCTGGTGTACCTATGGCGCTCTGGATTTCTGTTCGGAATGTCCTTGGTTCAGAATTCTACGGCTATCCTGGCTATGTTTTTCGTGTTCTTCCTCGGTCCCTCCAGGCAAATTCCGGGATGTTACTTCAGTTAGGCCACGAAAACTTTCCAAATACTGTCAGCGGACTACATGGCGTTGTATCCCAGAACACGGTACTTTTCATAACCACCGCTGGGAGAACCTCAAATCCTATATAAATGTGATAAGTTTTGTGTTTGGCTTCCATGGAAACGACATAACGACAGAGAGTGACCCGCGTAGGCTAATGGCGCATATATATAGTTACAAAATATTATTATTGCTATTATATCTTATTTTATTCTAAAACTGCTCTCTCTCGGTTCACGTAAACGGGGCAGGGGGGACATCATGTAGTCCGTTGAAAGTCTAGCTGTATTATATCCCGGAATATGGAAGTCCTCATAACCACCGCTGTGAGAAACTCGAATTCTTCATTTGTTATTTTGTTCTATGATAAAGCCGAACAGGTTGGTCTAGCGGTAACGCTCTATAGACTATTCAGGTGGCGTTCGTTTCGCCCGGGACACCGGCTACCCTAGTTAGTTAGTTCGTTAGTTATTGGAGAGGGTGGGTTTCCCCATGCATGAGACCTGTATTGGTCCCTCTGTGATTTCTACCAGTCTCTATATCCTACCGGTACTGATGCTTGCCATCAGTCCCGCCCAGCCAGCGAGACCGGCTCTACTAGCTGAGAGGTATCTGTAATGCTTCCCCCATCTACCAGAGGTATTAGAGATTGCTGTTGGGCGGGAAACGTCCGTAATTTGGCTCAGTGACCTCCTTTGGAGATATGAGGTTCTTTTACGTGCCGTAAAGCTACGACACGGGACCCACGGCTTAAAGTCCCTCCCTTGTTGTTGTTCCCTGAATTTTTCCGCCCTTAAAAATTCGACGACCTCCGCCGGGTATTTGAACCCGCGTACTACGAGTCATGAGGTGGGAACGTTACCTCTAGACTATGGAGGCCGCTGCCGGCTACCCTAACTGGGGGTGGAAAGCTAAAAGAATCCCCGCCTTTGTGTGCTAAGCACTGTGTAGCATGCCTACACGGCTGTAAGTTGCCGACAAACAGGGAACAGGGGGCTCGTCCTGTCCCGGAGAAACCTCTGCTTCTGGCCACGCCGTGTCAAGCAGATCTGTGCTTTGTGTTGCAGTTTACAATGAGCAGCCGGAACAAGACAGCTTGAACGACCCGAACTCCGGGCCTGAGCCGGCCACCACGCCGGCGGAAGTGAACCCGCCCGGCAAGCACCGGAACCACAGCCGCCCCAAACTGCGGAGTGGCCGCGCACTCTTGGGCATCCTGACGTCGGGCAGGAGCTCGGCCCTCGACATGCTAGAGCACACTGAGCCCTTGTGAGTCCTGCGATACAGTTCTTTGCTTTGCAGAGATCATTATCACTACTATATCTTGCATATATTCACTCTACACCCTCCTTGGAGGGGTTGAACAAATTTAAAAGGTATTAAAAGTTCGACGCTTCAGAGTCTATTGTATCACAACGTCTTGTGTTGCCTGCATGTACTTCAAAGGTAAAGTGGCCATTCGTCCCCGGTTTTCGGTGACAGTCCCCGAAAGAAGACTTGTTTTCCCGACTGATTTTGTCCTTCATTTGTTATATANAAAGCTAAAAGAATCCCCGCCTTTGTGTGCTAAGCACTGTGTAGCATGCCTACACGGCTGTAAGTTGCCGACAAACAGGGAACAGGGGGCTCGTCCTGTCCCGGAGAAACCTCTGCTTCTGGCCACGCCGTGTCAAGCAGATCTGTGCTTTGTGTTGCAGTTTACAATGAGCAGCCGGAACAAGACAGCTTGAACGACCCGAACTCCGGGCCTGAGCCGGCCACCACGCCGGCGGAAGTGAACCCGCCCGGCAAGCACCGGAACCACAGCCGCCCCAAACTGCGGAGTGGCCGCGCACTCTTGGGCATCCTGACGTCGGGCAGGAGCTCGGCCCTCGACATGCTAGAGCACACTGAGCCCTTGTGAGTCCTGCGATACAGTTCTTTGCTTTGCAGAGATCATTATCACTACTATATCTTGCATATATTCACTCTACACCCTCCTTGGAGGGGTTGAACAAATTTAAAAGGTATTAAAAGTTCGACGCTTCAGAGTCTATTGTATCACAACGTCTTGTGTTGCCTGCATGTACTTCAAAGGTAAAGTGGCCATTCGTCCCCGGTTTTCGGTGACAGTCCCCGAAAGAAGACTTGTTTTCCCGACTGATTTTGTCCTTCATTTGTTATATAAATTAATGGCATTTTAAAATCAGGGAACCGGGATAGCTTAGTCGGTATAGCGACGGGCTACGGTGTAGCCAATTAATTGAGGTTTACTACAAAGGAGCCGAACCGCTGAATGCTTGAAACACAGCGAGCTATGTAGGAGACCATGAAGGCTTAAAAGAACTAACTCCGTGGCCTGTAGTTCGCAAGCGAACTCTACCGACCGAGCGACTGCCGCTTGTCGGCGAAGTTAGTGCCAACTTTAGCGGATAGAGGGTGTCGCGTGGTCAGCGCAACGGATTCCCACAGCCGTTAATTTAGGGTTTCTAGACCGGAGCCGCTACTTTTCCATTCAAGTAGCTCCTCACGATGCTGAGTGGACCCCGTTTCACACCTACTACTTCTCAGAAAATCTGGTAGCGCCGGGAATCGAACCCGGGACCTCAGGATATGTAGCCAGGAACTCTAACCACTAGACCACAGAGGCGGTCCGTGGTCTCATCTAAGATAAAAGAAAAAGCAATCCCTGTAACAGACCATGGAGGCCCATAGGTTTGTGAGATGTCGAGACTCCAACATTTTCTAGACAATAGGTTCACAGATGGCGGTGAGCCGTCAGCCCTACACTAGGAAAGATAGAATGTTAAACACGAGAGCGATAACAGGTTACCTTGACAGACCACAAAGGGACAGGCCTGCCCTGATCGAGGATAGGTGCCGGTCGAAACAATTTTTGAAAGAAGACATTGAAACATAATTCTGAGTACGATCTCTCAAAACTAGATGCAAGATAGCACTGAGTTTCAGATGACCGGCGCTGGGTACCATGGAAGAGGAAGGGGATGGTAAGGGTGAAAGAGGCAGGGGGAACACATGCGCACTGGGATCGTAGCACTAACCACGGACACGCCAGAAAAGGAAGTTCTCATGACCGCGACTAAACCAACGGCACAACTTTACGTCGAGATGTTATATACAGGGTGATTTGACTTTGACATGATTTTTGTTACAGCTGCCACTTGTGGATCCTCCTCAGCTCTCTGTATGGGAAGCTGGTGGTGGTCCTGATGCTGGCCTTCTGCATCACGGAAGTCATGGACAACTCCATCAAGTTGCTTAGCCTTCAGGTATGAAGAACAGTGACGCCTTTAACAGTTGACAGTTCATTGCTGTACGACTGTATTGAACAGCGTCAACTGTTAACGGCGTTTCTCTTCTTGTCTTCAACTCACAAGTTTTTTTATAAGATTCTTACTTTTGTTTTTCGGTCTTGGATTCAGGAATTTTGGCCCAAGCCGAATATCATAAAAAGTTGTCCCTGATCGTAACTAATTAAACACTGCGTCATGACAGTGGAGGTATAGCTCCATCATTCTTGACCTCGACACTAGATGGAGGTGAGTGGTTAGCTTTTCCCCAAAGAAAGAGCCCCCGGTTCTCATTGGACAGAAGGCTGAATGGGTGCCAGAGCCGGTTTGGACGACATGAGGAAAAATTCTTGCCCTTACCAGGACTCGAACTCCGACCCCTCGGCCGTCCCGCCCGGAACCAGTCGCCATGCCGACTGCGCTATCCCGACTCTCCGATAAAATATCGTATAAACACAGATCTCCATATTCACCGCCGTGAGAATCACCATCTGTTTAACGATGCTGTTAACAATTCAGACTCCGCGGCGTCAAATGACCGGATAATTGGTGAATAAGGAAATGAAGGAGGGTGTGAAAGGAAGAAGCAGCGGCCTGATTTGAGGTAGTGTCACCATTTGCCTGTAAAGACTGAGCAAAAGCACGATAAACCTCAGTAAGGATAGTTGGCGGCCCGGACAAGATTCCAACCGGACATCTCCCGAATACAAGTCGGAAGCGCTGAGCCAGGTTGCTCGGTTCAAAGCAGCATAACCCGCATACACTGAACAGGTTCATGGTAGGAGCCAGTCATGGCGAGCATCAGGTGTGACCTCAACTGTACGCAGCTCAGCCCTTCTCCAGAAGGGCATAGTTCCTAACCAACTCAGGGAATTCCCAGCAGGTTATGAAACCCGAAAGTTCATTACCGCGTTCACAAGAGCCCACCACTGTTCCCTATCTTCAGCCATATGAGTCAAATCCACAGCCTCCCACTCTCTTTCTGTAAGATCTGTTTTAATATTATCCTCCCCGCTTTGCTTAGGTCTTCAAACTAATGTTTTCCCTTCTTGTTTTCCGACAAAAAATTTGTATACACTTTACGTGTCCCATGCATTCTATATGCATCGCCTTATCATCTTATTGTTCAACATCCCTTGCCAATTTCAACCCAATATTTCGCAAGCAGTAAAAATTATGAAGCTCCTTGTGTAAGTTTTCGAAAAACTTTAGAACAAAGAACTAAATGCAATACGGTGTAGCAACTACGTATCGTATGCGCCCATTGCTAGGCAACGGTCCGGTAAACACATTCCCGCGGCAACGACTAACACAGGAAGACTGGACGCACACAAAAGCCGGTTTCGAAGCTGTGTATAACAGAACAATCTCTCGCCCCTGCCGGGAATCGACTCAGGCCATCCAGCCAGTATCCTGTTCGCAATACCGACTGAACTAGCGTGGCTCCCACAGCATTCCACGGCCACAGTTTAGCGGCGGTGTATAGATAATTGGGTTATCTATAAAGAAGGGTATTACGGTGTTTTAACGTTGTAATACAAATCACTAAAACTATAATTTTGCCTGTAGTTTTGTATGGGTGTGAAGCTTTTTTTCTGACATTAAGGGAGGAACATAGACTGAGGGTGTTTGAGAACAGGGTGTTAAGGAGAATATTTGGACCTAAGAGGGATGAAGTGACAGGAGGTTGGAGAAAACTGCATAATGAGGAGCTTCATAACTTGTACTCTTCTCCAAGTATAATTAGAATGATCAAGTCTAGGAGGATGAGGGGGGCAGGGAATGTAGCACGAATGGGGAAGACGAGGAATGCATACAGGATATTGGTGGGAAAGCCAGAAGGAAAGAGACCACTGGGAAGACCAAGGTGCAGGTGGGTGTACAATATTAAAATGGATCTTAGAGAGATTGGATGGGATGGATCTGGCTCAGGATATGCACCAGTGGAGGGCTCTTATGAACACGGTAATGAACCTTAGGGTTCCATAAAATGCTGGGAAGTTCTTGAAAATACGTATCACGCGCAAGGTTAGTGCAGCTACGGCTGGGCACCAAATCTCTCGCGGGCGCAGTACATACTTGCTTTCGGCGGTCTCGGTACTACTGAGATGGATCTGTGTCGCGACCCATGCGCTATCCTGCGGCCGACGCATGAAGGACGACCATAGATTACAAACGGCTGCCCCACCTACCGATGACAAGATAGAACTACAAGGGCCACAGCACCCACCGACCTCCTGCCCTGTGGTCACTGCAAGATAGCGAGAACCTTGCAAGGGGGACGGAGCAGAAGACAAACTTCACTATACAGTAATAACAAGCATACTCCGTTTGTGTTGGGTATGCTTGTGATTACTGTTTCTATTGCCCAGTGTGGCTTACAGAAAGCTCATTGAGCAGTGTAAGGTTGGAGTCACTTCTGTTGGCATGGACTGTAGTTACTAACTACCATGGATCAGAGTCCTTGAAAAGCCATCAGTCGCTCAGCTACTCCTGAATTTCACAGCATTTTATGGAAGCCAAAGTTTCACTACCGTGTTCACAAGATCTAGCCACTGGCCCCTAGCCTGAGACTGATTAATCCATTCAGTATCATCTTACCCCATTCCTCTCAAGATCTAGCTTAATATTATCCCCTCGCCAAGTGGTCTTTTTCCTTTCAGCGAAGAGTACAAGTTATGAAGTTCCTCATTATGCAGTTTTCTCCAACATCCTGTCACTTCATCTCCCTTACTTCCAAATATTCCCCTCAGTACCATGTTTTTCCCTTAATGTCAGAAACCAAGTTTCACGCTTGTACAAAACTAGACATAATTATAGTTCTGTACATCTTAGTTTGTACGCTTCTGGACAACAGATGAGAAGGTGCTGATCCTCTAAAAGGGGTCTTACAAACACAACTAATACTCTCCAGAAGCTTTGGATGTTTTCTGTTTTCTGTACAGTGTGTATATAAACATTATTGTGAGAAACTCGATCATGTGCCTTGTTGTGTATTCAAACTCTAACAAGCACTGTACCTTTCCAGGGGATATTCCTGATGTACCTGTATGTGGGGAGTATAGCCGTTATCATCTGCATCTACATCTGGGTGCTGATTGACAGCTGTGCCTCGCTGAACTCCCAGAATGAGGTAGCGTCAACACAGCGAGGATCAGCGCCCGGCAATGTCACGACAACAATAGCGGGCAATCGTGACGCCGAGATGGGCGGCTTTCCTCTCACCAGGTTTGGTTCTTTGAAAAGGGCGCACATTTCACGGGCCAAAACCTCGGGCACTAGCTTCTACCTGCGAGTTGGTGCACTGGGTAAGTAACTTTTATTTGTTTGAGCTTTGCTGGTGAATGTGTAACGAAGTATTCTATCGAAGTTCTAGGGAGATATGCAAACCATTCCACACAGTAATGCGTTTCATATCGATTACATACTTGCTGAGGGGAGTTCAGACTATACCGCATCAAATACACGTGACTAGTGCAAACATACATACTAATGGGGCATGTAAGTATTGTATATAAAAAGAAATAACATACAGACACACAAAAATAGCAAACACATATATTAATGATACTTCTTTGCATATTACATATAAAAATAACTGATAAATAAAACAAAACAAGCAATTAATATTAAAGCAAGTATCAAAATTCAAAACCTGTAAAATTTGACAACAATAAGGACCATTAACATGAACGCTGCAAGGGGAGGGTGCTGCACAAAAGGATAAAGAGTTTTGTTCCAAAACAAATGTATATCAATGTGACCGACAAAACCGTAATAACACTGGAATGTTTTAACATGGGGAACTAATGCAGTGTAGTGTTCTCAACAAGTGAACAGTTGCCTGAGGATGGCCAAGTAAGGCCGAAACATGTGGCATTTGATTGTGATTTTATGTTATTTTAAATTAATGAGAGATTGTGAACGGAGTTGCATTAAAGACAGAAGTGAATGTGTGAAGAGAACAATAATGCAATACCATTAGAAAGTAATACATCAGCTTTTGTTTTAACAGGAAAATCAGTGCTTTCATACAGAAAGTACAGGATTCTCAACAACCAATTTCATCCCAGTTATAGGGCATTCCATGAGCAGCCAGACTGAAGCTTATTTTGGTGCAGACTTGCTTCACGTTGACTGGCACTTCAGATAATATAAATATGTTATTTCTATAACTGATCAGTTGGTCCCATGTAATAAGAATGATTCTACTGTATCCTGTTACAGCATTTGGACTTGGAACATTAGTGTTCAACGGCCTTGAGATGGCAATGCATTCCATGATGGAAGGCGCCTGTCTGAATGACGTTGTTTTTGTCCATCCAGTGTTGCATGGCCTCTTCACGTTCTTGCAGATGCATTTCTTGTTTGTTAACTCACAGGTATGACCTACCAGTATCATCATGCTCAGGTATAAACATTGTTACTGTAGGTATAGCATTTCATGGGGACTGTCAGATACATCCAGTCGGACCCCAAAGAAAATAAAGAAATAATGAGGGAACTATAAATTCCAAAAATAAAATCTGTAGAACACTTCGGAAGAAATTCTGAAGAACACGTATACAGGATGAGCTCTGACAGGGATCCTAGTAGGATCTTGAAATATCATTCAAAAGGAAGAATTCTGGGAATGGTTCTGAAATGACACAAGGACTATGATGAGCTCTGTCTTCTGGGCTATAACACCATGCAGTCCGCTGAAAGTCAACCAACGTTTCGGAACAACACACTGCCTTCTTCTTCAGGATCAAAGAATAAGCCATGCTACACGTAGATATCAGCATGAAGCAGGTAGCAAGCAGAGCTCTGCTTTGATCCCAAAGATGGAGGCAACACGTTCCTCTGAAATGTCAGCTGACTTTCAACAGACTACACTGTATTATATCCCAGAAGACAGAACTCTTCATAACCACTGCTGCAAGAACCTCAAATCCTATAGGATTCTGTTTTGATATCTGTAACAGATCTAATGTAAAGAATGGCGATTAAAAATTCTCGAATACTGGTTCTATGTGAGGAATTGTAATCATTTAAAAGCAGATTTGTCCTATTTGTTGAGGGCTGGCTCAATCATATGCCTGCCTGAGACAGCGGTTACTGGTAGATGATCAAAAACCGTGGGACGGTTTACCTAGTACTAGCAACACAAACATGTTCCTTATGGAGTAAAAATAATGGTAAAGTTGTTACTGGCGTTAGGAACCACACCATGAAGATGTATGGGGAAATTCACCAGCAATAGATACAGGTGGTCAGCTTTACACTTTGGGAAAGAACTGGGTGGACTGCAGAGTCAGTGGGAATGTAGTGGGGAAAAGAAAAACTGTGCCTCTGCTTAAGAATTGAATCTGGTTGTCCAGCCTATGGTCTAGTCAAGTGTATTTTATTTAATTATTTTAGAGCAGATTATGATTATTAAGTACATACTTCTGGAGAAACATGATTCTGGCATCAGTTTTATAAAGCTGGTCATTTAATAATGCTGTCAGTATCAAGACAGTTACTTCATTTGCACTGTTATTTTAGTGCCTGAGTGACCCATGTACAGCGTGTCATATTGTCAGTTTTTAACCCACTATTTATCATGGTACAGTTCTACATTTTTATTGAGTACTAGTCAGACCCTTCTACAGTCTATCAAATACATAATTTTGTTTACTCTCACACCTCGTTTAATAATTGACATTTTAATTCCAGTTTATTCAGGTGCAAATAGCCACATGCACGCACAAACACACACGCACACAAAACCCCCCACAATGCAGTTTCCTCAATTTGTGCTGCTCCATTCAGTAACATGTGTTCAACTCAGGCTGATAACAATTCTCAGAAACTGCAGTTGCATTGTGATTGCCAGTTTCCTTGTTGTGCCCTCACCCTTACGGTACTGTATACTTTAGTGTCCTATTTACATACCATTGTTATGCACATTTAATGTAAAAAGGACTTTAGAGTCTAGTAACATTTTATGGGTCAAGTTCCATTACTCTGCCTTCAGACTCCTGAAGCCAGAAATGCAAATTTTTACATTTATAATACTCTTGACACTGTCCCTGCTTATGCTGCCTCAATATGTTCTAGGTGCTTGTGGAGAGATTTGGCCTTGCAGCTCGATTTGGTTTCATGCACCTTGCAGCAACCAACTTGGCGCTGTGGGTCCGTCTCATTGTGTGGGAGAGTGGAAATGAGTGGACTTACTTTGTTCACCTGTCTCAAAGCAATGGCATAACAACGGGAGTCTCTAACAACATTCCAACACCATTACAGCTGAGGGGCTTCCCCCGTTCTATGGTGGCCAGGCACCAGCGAGATCTCTTCTTCAGTAAGCCTCGATTTAGTAGTTTCAAGTCCAGTATAGGTTTGAGAGTATTGGAGGACAGGCACATCATGTATCAAGATTTACTTCTTACCTACCAACGAGAGCTCGTTGCTGGCCATTCTTTCTAATTCCTTCTATGGCCACTGATGAAGACCAGCTTTGTCAGAAGGTGCATCCAGAGCCAAATCTAGAGCAATCTGGACATACCATAACAGATCCAACGTACACTCAAGTTTTGGTGCTGTGGTTAGGGACTGAAACAGAGGCAGTCTCCAAAATGTACAGAATTTTGGGATTTAATTCTGTTAGTTTGTTATTTAATGAGGCTGTTAATATTGAGATGATATAGCATTATTTTTTTTTTATTTCATGTCTTATGTCTGACAGTGAACCTGCAACCTTCCGGCTTGTAGCATAGTGCCTCAACCCACTATGCTACCACATGCCCCCCAATCCTTCCAGCCGCACTAAGGCCCTGGGGTCGACTCAGCCTCTAAGAGAAATGAGCATCAAGAATCTTCTAGGGGTAATGGGCAGCCAGGGCACAAGGCTGACAGCCAATTGTCTAGAAAATGTTTGAGCCTCAACATCTCACAACCCTATGGTCCTCCATGGCCTGTTACAGGGATACTTTTACCTTTACCTTTTTACCAGACACTGACCAAAGCCCTATCAGTTGCCACAATAATCGCAATATTTACATTTGCTCACATTATTACCAGCCAATGCAATTCAGTCAAATCATGACCTGGATCACTGAATTTCAGTTTCTGAGAGGTGCAAAGTTGTTCCCTAATGCCACCAAGCCTGGAGCCCATTAGGCTCATATTCAGCTGACACTAAGAATTTTATTCCTTGAGGTAAAATGTCTGAAGCATGAAACCAACCACTGATCTCCATTCAGTGTTGGAATTATCCATGGAACTTTTACCTCCATGCCATGAAACTTGGGCATTTCCACTTTACACACAAGTATTATGATATGTCAGTGATACTGCCTCCTCTTTATGTATGTAGTTATGTGAATACAATTTCAAGCTCTCGTGGCACATGATCGGCTGTGTCAGTATGAAATGAACTTCCAACTTCTGGAGACCAACTATGGCTCCATGAATAGGGACTGACCGATCCCTGAAGATGCATTTCATACTGACAAAGCTTATTGCATTAAGACTTCTATGAGATACGGAATGCGAATGTTGCAGGCACCAATGCATCACTGCACTACAGCTATCGACCGATATCGGAATCCCACATATCTCAGGTCGTAGCACTGCACGAGTGCCTCAACACCAACTCTCTGGGTCAGCTCTGGACCTCTTCAATGCCATTTCTGTACCCATTCATTGTACAGTTCAGGTAAGCATCCGGGTCTAAAAGCTGCTGCACAGAACATCATCATGTTTAAACAAGTTAGGAAATATACACAGTAATATTTATTGTATTGTTCCATTCATATTTTCACACTGTAACTGCTTATTTCCTTTTATAAATATGCAGAGGACACAAACGTTAGCAAAATCGTTCTGATCCAGCATCAAATTTCCTGAAAATACTTCCTAGCAGTTCTCAAGTTCTTATACTGTGCATACACAGGACAGTGAAGCTAAAAGGTGCAAAGATACTGGGTTTTTGGACTTTGTCCATCGTCCGGATTCTAAATAACTAAGAAAAAACGTTTCAGAAACTGGATCTGTTTCCGTCCTCAGATGAGGGAAGACACCTACTCTGTTGGGTCCCTTAGAAAGAGCTAGCCTCAATCACTGGACCTATGTAGGTGTCTTCCCTCACCTTGGGATGGAAACAGATCCAGTTTCCGAAACGTGTTTTTTCTTAGTTATTTAGAATCCAGATGATGGACAAAGTCCGAAAACCCAGTATCTATGTGTGTTATACACCATCGTCAGAACCCTATAGTATCTAACAGGTGCAAGTCTGCAATATTTTGTTGTGAATATGCCCAAATAATACAGGTACACCTCACTGTACAAAGCTAATTTGTTCCATGAAAACTGAAAATTCACGAATAAAAAATTAAATTCCCATTACTATACATGCAGACGTTACCAAATCCATGGATATAAGTTGTTTGCTGCATTGAAAATAAAGTCTGTTAAGTAAAAAACAGGTACAAATTAACATGCTTCATTGTAGCGAAAATTTATAAATCGAGTGTTCACAAAATGAGGGTTGTCTGTACCTAATTTCACTAACTGCTTTGTGGTATGTTTCCCCACAGGTGAGACGTGAATTATTGATGTGGCATGCCATATGTTTAGTCATCTGCGGTCATGGTGAACTGTACATTACAATTCCTTGTGCAAACCACATTAATTTACGCGATCATTACATTTCAGCTTAATTGCAGCAGCCGTCACTTTTGTGATGGGTCAGAATGTAGGTAGAGGTCGCATCTTCCTGAAACAGAAGAAACTGACCAACAGTCATTCCAAAGGCTGCTCCATTGCCTCAGCAGGTGATCACAGTGTTCGCAGTACCTGGAGTGTGGACTGCGGTGGTGCCAGCAAAGGTCTCTTTCTAGGTATCCTCTGTCTTGTTGCTGGTATTGTTGTCATCATCATCTTCCTGGTAGTTAAAGAAGATGAGGAATTCCCAGCAGATACCATCTTCTGGCTCACAACTGGAGCTCTGGCAGCCATGCTTGGACTCTGTTGCATCGTGACAAGTGTGGGGCTTGTCCAGATACGAAGGCTGTCCACATCGGGTCAGGAGCCAACTCCGCTCGACACCCTTCTGTCCACTGTCTCCACAACAGGAGTTCAGTTATATACTGTGTTTGGGATAGTGGTAGGAGCCAGTGGACTTAGTATTCACAGTACTACAGACAGTGGGGCTCCCCGCCGCCATGCCATGTTGTTAGCAGTCAGTGTCCTGCAACTCATTCAAACCACAGGGCAGAGTGTCCTGATAACCGAAGCTCTACGGCGTGCTACACTGACACGGCATCAGATGCTCACAAAGCCTGCAAGACAAGTGATCACCTTCTTGCTCTGCAGTAACACCGTCCTGTGGGCATATGACACTTTTGTGACGCAGAGCTGGTTGTCCCAGGAACTTCAACTGCGATTTTTTGGAGTTCTGGGATGGGGAGTAATTTCACGCATTGGTCTTCCACTGCTTGTCTTCTACCGTTTTCACTCCTGTGTCCTTTTACTGGAGATATGGAAGCGCTCCTACAGAACGCCTCTCTTGGATCCGGGAAACTGACGGTGGTGGGAGCAATGGAGACGCCGGCATGGATCCACACACTCAATGAGAGAATTTCCACACGCTTGCATACATCAATTCTCCACTCACACTCCGTCAGCGACAAGAAGGGGAATTATGAAGAGAGTAACACTAGCAGATCATGGAGGTACAGTAAGAGGGTGCAGACCACCGAAATGCCTGTGTCTCCCTGAGTATCCTTATGTCCATGGTTACAGTGCAGAATCAGGTTACTTAGAGCCTCATGCTGATGCCATCAGCTGGATGTATCTTGATAACAGCACTGCAGTGGATCACACAGGACCTATGATCTTAGATTTAGATTATGCACTGCCTCCTCCGAGGAGAAAGAAACATCACCATCATCATGGACAACATCACAGGAGCAATCATGAATGGTCTAGCTCACATAGCTCTTCATGCATAGTCACAGAATGTGTAGATTCAAATGTGTTCCCAACCCAGAATATATTTGAACTATTTCAAAATGCCAGCAGTGGAAATACGCCATTCAGAAAGGTGCCATGGCATCCCAACCTTCATATGCTCAAGTTCTGATGCACATGGCACTTAGATATTTTAATCTTATATTTACAAACAATCAAAAATCTTTTATATAAACCATAAAAAATACTGGAATATACATAAGGAATGAAACACTCGGACTACATTACAGGATTTCTTTGCTCAGAGATTCTCATCTTAATTTGATTAGTTTCGTTCTGGTCCGTCACACTAATAATACTATGAAAAAAGTTAATTAGTTCCATCCAGTGTGACTGGTTAAGATTTTTTTTTTTCTTATTTCAATTATTCATGCCCTTACATGTTTCGGTCTTCAGAGACCAACAACACAAACAAAACAGCAGGCCACAAACACATACAGGACAACATTAAAGAACCCTCTTCTCGCGAACAACAAAGTGGCACACATTCAGCCCCCGTCAAAAGAAATAATAAGGACGCCACGAACCAGCTTGGTTTATGAATTCCAATAGAATCTTAACGAAACATGTAAGGGCATGAATAACTGAAATACGGGGGGGGGAATCCTAACCAGTCACACTGGACGGAACTAATTAACTTTTTCATACTGATCATCTTAATTAACAAACCTGTGATATTTTTTTTACAGTTTATTCTATGTACAGTATATGTGTTCACCTTAAAATTAATTTTCTCTACTTTTATTAAAGTGGATATTTATAACTGTGTGTACACAGCCGGTACACTCACTCTGGGAAGTAGGTTTAGGAGACCAAGTAAACTAACAACTTTACATGTAGGTATGTATATTTTAATGTTATATTTTTTTTACATAAAACATTCTCCAATGTTTGAAAACATGGTGGTGCTTTATTTAAATTCCTATTCACTACATTCATTAAGGGCAATCCCAAATTATAAACATGGCACAGCATAACTATTTCTTATAATTGTGTGTTCAGACCAATCATATGGCATCTGTGCCTTAGAACATGTTTCTGTGACTAGGAGTTACCTACTTGCGGCGACTGCTCCTACAAACTAAGGTACATAATTAACTGATGAGTGTAAGCAGAATAAAGAACAAATCCATTCTCCTCAGGAAACATATAACAAACAAAACAAAAGGCTTCGGTGCTCTATAAGCAGCAACTTTCCACTTAATCTCTGAACTTGGAACTTCCTTATCAGTCTTAATTAAAATGGTATGGTCAGAAGGCCTTCATAACATAAAGTACACAATTAACATTTTGTATTTAAATGAAGAAGAAAAATCTATTAATAATATGTTAATAAAAGACCTGAACACCAACTCACTGAAACACGTAGATAACCTGCAAAGAATGAAGAAAATTGTTTTAGTATTTTGGCCCAACAGCAGCGGAGAATGTTTCATTTGTACGAGCTGAAATACAATGTCCAAAGCATAATTAAGACCACCCCCAGGCCACAGGAAATCAGGACAAACTGCCCACAGCAAGATGTCATGACAAAGATCTAACCAGTTTCACATTCTGACATAAGAGTGTGTGTGTAATCTTTGAATGTCTGATCTCAAAACTTCCCACTTCCCCACGGTTTGGTACAAAAGTGGTCAGTTACCATGTACAGTAAGCACATAGCTGCCCACTACTGACTGTTATATCCACTTATAATCTGGGATAATGAAGGTATCAGTCACTCTTGGAGCTTAGCCCTTCTTGAGAAGCCGGCAATTGTTCAGCTACTCAAGAACTTCCCAGCATTTTACAGAACCTGAAGATTCATTACCATGTTCACAAGAGCCCTCCACTGATCCCTATCCTGAGCCAGATTGATCCAGTCCATACTATCCCACCCTATCTCTCTAAGATCCATTTTAATATTGTCCCCCCCCCCACTTATGTCTTGGTCTACCTACTGGTCATCAATTCTATCCTCTGTTGGGGCATGAACATTCAGAACCAGTGACCTCTTAGTACTATCTACGACGTCCTACCACCAACAAACTCTACCCTCTTAACTGCTGACATCATTCTCTTATGTATGAAAAAACCTGTATCTAATTCATGAGTCTCACTCCCCTTTTCACAGAAAAATAAAGAAGGTATGCTTCATTTATTTGTTACAATTCTGTAGCAGAACCTGCATATCAATATATCTTTCAAACTTTTTTTTTCTGCCCACATCTACTTCATACAAGTATTTATCTAATTGTGCTTATACAGCAAACTCTTAGATTATTCTTTTACATATATTTCTTTCAACTTGTATATTAATATAACTGACATTTCTGGGCCTGGCTGAATGAATGTTGAACAGTGTGGGTGTGTCTATGTAGAATCATCCTCTCATTCATGAAGGTATTTCATTCCACGAAAATTCTTCATAAGGTGAAAATCCATAACTCAAAGATGAAATTCCCATTATATGTAAAATTTGCCAAACTTAGCACATACTGTGTTGTAGTGAGAATGAGTTCATTAAGTGAAAAATAGGTACAAATTACAAAGCAGTCTTCTGGGATTTGGCACCGTGTATAAGTGGTGTTAACCGACGTTTCGGAGGAACGTATCGCCTCCATCTTCAGGGTAGAAGAAAAAGTATAAGAAATCTGCAAGCGACAAGACCGTGAGAACGGTAAAAGCAGACTCACGGTCTTGTCGCTTGCAGATTTCTTATACTTTTTCTTCTACCCTGAAGATGGAGGCGATACGTTCCTCCGAAACGTTGGTTAACACCACTTATACACGGTGCCAAATCCCAGAAGACTGCTTTCTTCATAGTCACCGCCGTGAAAGCCTCAAATCTTACATACAGGTACAAATTAACATGCCTCATTGCAGCGAAAATTCATAAATTGAGTGTTTGTAAAACAAGGGATATCTGTGTATGATCTGTGGCAATTGCGGTTTTTCTTTTTTTGAGTTTTATTTCCATAAGAATTACCCTAAAATGATAGGGCTTCAAGAGACATATGCATTTTCTTTCCTCCTGTGTCAAAATTAATGGAAGATACACCCAAAACCCAGAAATTAAAGAAGACAGGTATTATGTAGCTTTCAACCATGATTCTCTTTCCACCAGATTGAAAGGAGGAATATGACATGGTTCCACCACTTATTGGCTCTGTCGTTTACTAATATTGCATTCACGGTGATGATACAGACCATGCAATATACTGAGGACACAAAAGGAGTATTGAATCCCTCCACAACTCTCTTGAAGTGTTACATTTTCCCCTTGAACATACACATGTCAGCAGTGATAACTTTTACTAGTAACAAGCACCTTGGGTTCACTGACACAGGTTAAAGTGGAATACAACAGTATGTAAAGAGGGGAAAGCCTCAACTACCATCTGTGAGACATTTTCTCAGTATTAATTTACAGGCACAAGAAATTATAAGCGAAAGCTTATTTCTGCTATACAGCCCCCTGGACAATGCATGTTATTTGCTTATTGTAGAAATAGCCCAGAACAGTCAGTAATTCAGCAACTGAATGTCATCTTATTATAATTATATCTACAGTGTCTTAAAGTTTGTAGTTTACAATTATGTCTTATCTGGTGATCAGTCATGTCAATGTGGAATTAGTGTATGACAGTTCAGACTGTCTTTGTCTGCACAGATAGAGTTGATGTGTGCTGTGTTCACATCCTAATACACAAAGCTGTCCTCTATATCAGCTTGGACTGTGTGGAGAAGAGTGCTCTCATCATATCAACCCCCCACCCCCATAATAAACATGTCTATGAAATGCTGGACACCAACCCCATGCTGACACAGTTCATCTCCCAAGAAGACATCACTGTATACTGTCACTGTGATTATTAGAATCTGTTCCTGCAAATGACCAACCAGTGTCAATCCATGGTCACAGACCTTGTATAAGAGTATCAAGGAGGTCTTAAAAACAGATTAATTTTCCTCAAAGCCCTGCATGCCACTAAAAATGGCCTGTTTGCATTTATTATGCACATGGAACAGAACATGAACAGCACTCAAGGGGACATCTTGATCTGACGCCAAATGGTCAGAACATCCACAAAAGGAGATATCTGAGTGACATTTTAAAACTGTTTTGCAACAGATTTCTGTTGGAAACATTTCGTATTCAAAACTGTCAAACACAACCATTGTATCCAGCTTCACTTAGGACAGTCCAAGAGACTCAGAAACTATAACAAAACATACAGTTAAAGGTATATGCCGACAATGTTACTTCATCTGATGGAATCACAAGTAACATGAAGAAAAACGCAGAGATGTTCATATCTTGTCACCAGATTACAAGACAAAATCACAATATGATCGTTAATAAATCCATACATTATGAAGCAAATACAAATTAGTGCAAACAAGAGTAACAAATGGGAGTGAGACACACAAGGAAATGAATGGAAGGCTTAGTTCACAAGATGAACACCATCCCTTAGTCTCCTGTTCCCTCTCTCCGAAGCTGAAAAATGTCCGCCTGTTTTATGTGGGTGAGAAATATAGTCTCTAATTAAAAGGGGAGAGAGAGACTGAATACAAAAAGCTAAAAATGATGAAGTTACAGAGAACTGCACAAAGGGGGGCAACATTTGAACTGATGAGATAAGAAGGATGAAATGGGTAAGCCATGTAGCAGTCACAGGGAACAACTCTAGTTATAATATGGAGATGGGGATAAAATGCCATGATGGTCATCAGAAAAACAGGGCACGAAGATGTGAACTCTATTGAACTAGCTTATGAACAAGTCCACCGGATATCATTTTGTGAACACTTGGTTCTACAGAAAACACAGTATTAGATAATTAATAACTAAAAAGGAGTGGTTTCCTTATGAAGGTCATGTCACAGTTCAGCTGGTAAGTTCCCAGCTTATTACAGCACAGACCTGGATTCAGTCATTCAGCAACACTGGAACTCCCACAACTACGTTTATTGCTCAGTGGTGTGCAAGGATATTTATCAACTGATTCAAGTCAGTGTAATCAATTTTTGAGGAAAAAGTAACTCAGTGAACTGACAATCTCTTCAACACTATGCTATATACCAATAATACGTGAAGCTGAAAGCATATGTCAACATGCGTGGGTAGCTTGACCCTCTGAATTCAGTTCCTATCTCACAAAGAGCACACTGCAACCATTTTAAAAAAGACCAATCAGTTAATGCTGGTTAGAGAAATAAGCTACTTACTTCTAAAGCAGGTGGTACATATAGTTATTTCAGTACTTGTTTATCAGTGGTTTTGGCACGACGCCAAGATATCCCATTGCCTGCCCACTATATTCATTCAATTAAACAACAGTAACAAATAACAGCCAATAACTTCAGCATTCCTTCATCAGCGAAAACATAATGCATATGTTCGGTAATATTCTGGGATACAGATGAATCTCCATACATTTCTGTTGACATGTTATTGAGTACAAATAATGAATCCCTTAGGCCCTTCACACATCTAAAATTAAATTAAACTCTGTGTGATTATAAATCTGTTATTACTGTATTGTTATGATCGGACTATTAACAACTCTATTTTCAGAAAGACTGTAATATAAGTAAATGAGAAAGAGGAACATATATGAACCAGAGACATTAATCTCATGTAAGCAATATAAGTTCTGCAAAAGTATTTGAGGAAAATATCTGGACTAAAGAGAAATTAACTAGGATTCTACAAAATACACAGTGAGGAACTTTGTGAATAATGGGTTGTAACACATTGCAGTTTGTAGACATTCCAGCATTCTGGAGGATCATACAGCCCATATCTTCAGGCTCAAAGATTAAGAAAAGTAAGAAACCAGCACAGGTTGAATTCAGCTTACTGCCTACTTTGCTGGACCCTTGCTTGGGTTATTTTTCGACCCCAAACATGGTGGCGATATGTACCTCCAAAACATTGGGCTCTCTCCAAATGACATGGTGTTACAACCAAGAAGTCACTGCTGTGAGAACCACGAACCCAACTATGTAAATTACGTTCTTATTCCAGTACTGTTAGGCTGCTTAAATTACACTAGAGTGAACTGTACATTGCCCTGAGGGAGGATCAAAAAAATCATGTATTCTCTTAGATATCCATTTTAAAAAGAATCACACGAAGTTGGAGACAGACACACCAAGGTTAAAACTGATGGCTGTGATAAGGACTGCAGAGAACTGGCTCAGAACAGTATGCAACAGCAGACTTCTGCCTCAACAGCACTGAACATTTCACACTATAATGCCAGTCACTAATAATAACAGACAAGCAAAATAAACCAGCTGAATGGAATGTACAGAATTTCTATTAAACTTCAATACTGGTTCTGTCTCCATCATCAGTGAAAGTAACTAACCTACTCTCCACTGGGCCTCAATTCTTATCTCATGTCCTTGATCTGGTGAAGTATGTGCTCATCTTTCCACTCGCCTAATGAACAAAACCTCAGAAACAGTCTCACATAGACAGTTCTATCTTCTGGGATATAATGCCAAGTCTGTTGAAAGGAGAACTCCGATTGCTACCTGCTTCATGCCGATTTCTTGGTTGGCTTCTTATTCGATGCTGAAGATGGAGGCAACGTGTTCCACTGAAATACTGTGTGGCTTTCAGCAGACTACATGCTGTTATATCTCAAAATATATAACCACTACTGTGAGAACTTAAATTCCTACATAGTTTCTAATAGTTGTCAAATGTGAATCACTATACACAACTGTCAAGTTCTGTCTTACTTCATATCGAAGGATCGGCTGGCCAGTCTCGGTTTGTTCTCACCGTGAGAGACCTGTTGGTTGCAGGACCAAACGGTGGAGCCAAGTATATTCATTGTAAGAATGAGTATATTCAAACAAGGAAAAAATTGTCATTTTTAATGTGTATGTGAATTATTCTTGTGTTGAATACCTCATGGTTTGTTATGTACATGGGAATGAGTTCTGAATGTGTTGAGTGTGAACTCTAATGTACTTATTTATCTGTGTAAATGTATATCATGGAAATCAATAAATTTCAAACCTCATCTCTGAGAGTCTAACCACTGCATAATTATGCAAAATAAACAGTACAATGAATAATAAATGCTGATTGGACTGGTTAGAAGTTATGATTGTCTCTACAGTCAGAAGAATAATTTCTGTCATTAGACATTACTTCACCAAAATTTGTATCTGTGTTGTTCACTCACTAGACCAAGATTTTTTTTTTATTTTGGGTAACAGCATTAGGCCCACATTTATAATTATACCTACAAACGCCTTAATTTCAGGAACTGACACATCAAACCTGCTACTCCAAATGGACCTCAGGCTAAGCTGAAATTCTTAATTTTGTGAGTCGCATACCTGTTTGTGTCTATAACAATATAATTCAAAAGCTGGTCACTGAAAAATAAACTAAAATAATCCATGAGCTCTGCATCTGGTAGAAGATTAAATTATGGCCCTGCAGTTTTAGTAAATGTGTATGCCTTAGATTTCTTGTCACCCATTGTCATATCTTGCCATTCATCAACACAGACACTTGTTTCACTCCCGCTCTCACTTTCCGACATAACATTTCATCGCTCGATTCTTCACTCATAGTTTCTCCTAAATTTTCCAAATCCATCTGCCCATCAGAGTATATAAAGTTCTTCATTTAACAAAGCAATAACTGATTCTACAATCTCAACATACACAGCATTATATTTTGGTTTTTTCATGCCAAAAGGCACACGTGTACCCAAAGGCGAAGCCATGATGCTAACACTGATGCACAGTAATATATAAATGAAATTTGTTCCTCAAGAAGTTCAAACTAAGACTTCCGGATGGCAGAAGGAGACAGACAGAGTCATGAATATGTTGGTATAGTATACGGTGCCAACTAGCGACATAGGATCAAAATGTGACCAGAGGAACACGAAAGAAACATTGTTGATTGTATATCGGCATTCCCCCATGGAAACACTGTCACCATGTCAATTATATATGGACATATAACCAGAAAGGGTTAAGACAACAAATAGTAGCTCTTACTTAAACGATACAAACAACAGTACTGAGTTTCACCACCTACCAAATATCTGCTTAGTCGAGTCCCACATCATTGCCACTAGTAGATGTCGGAGCACTACCGGTACCACGACCTGGTGGGAAGCCCCCAGGAAATCCTCCACCAAATCCTCCAGGCATTCCACCACCAAACTTGCTGGCCAGTTTTGTTATAATAGCACTGACTTTAGGATTATTCTGATATTTAATAATGTTGGCTGGATTTGCAGAGATGTCTTGGAAGGCTGCTGCCAACTCTGGATCCTGAATGGAAAGAAATTACACATATTAATCATAAGTTCTCAAGCTACAGATGCAAAGCAGTGACATTACCAGAGAGCATCGCTACTTAGATGAATGGAAACTGGGCACCACTGGACCACCAGAGGCAGGATTATAAATTTCCACAAGAAGTAATTCACTAGTATCAACAGCACAGTCCCTGTTTCACACTGGCTGTAGTACTCAAGGCAATGTAAATACAGTAAAACTTGGTTATAGCAACATCGGTTTCTGCGACACCTTGTCTATTGCGTCAAATATTCAGTTGTACGAACTAATTCCTCATAAAGCAACTGTTTTTATACCTTGCTTAGTACGACATGCACAAATGCATCAACCTCGTATGTAACGTCATTTTCATTCCTGAATTTCTCTGATATGGACATTGAACGTAATTTAGAAAGTGTGTATTGGGCAAGTAACAGGAAACAGATGAAGATAACTGATTACTGTACTCGTATCTAGGTACAGTAAGGCACAACAATTGATGTAATCTACTGTAATTTGGTGAGTAGGCCTACCTTTAATATACAGTATTAGTGCGGTGTGTATTGTCAGTGAAAAGCGCTGTAATATGTCTTTGATATTACACATTTGGGCAATTCCACGTTAATGTTACGTTAGTCTGTACTTAACTATGTATTTCACTAAAAAATGCAACATTTTAACTCGGTTTTTGGTAGATTTTTACGTGACTAACATAAGGCTACTGTGGAAGTGCCCATTTCGGTTACAACGACATTCGTTTATAACGACACTATTTTTAGGTCCCTTTGATGACGTTATAACCAAGTTCTACTGTATAAGCGTTTTACTTTCCTTCTTGCTAAAATAACTTTGATATCGCCAAAGGGGACAACGGCTGAAAAATATTGAATATTTTACAAAACAACCAACAGTTGTTTGCATATGGCATTTCAGGTAAACAGAAAAAAGAATTGGCAAAGAAAATTGTGCTTAGGTGATATCAATGTGTTTGACTGAAGAATAACAGATTATGAGAACACACACCTTACAGTACTCCCTCCTAGCTTGCTGCCAAGTCTGGGCGAATCACATATCTAACAACTATTACACGCAATATTTTTGTTATGAAATCAGGTTACACAATCTTTCTTATTCTTCTTACATATCTCCATAAACAAGAAAAGAGTTCTGTCTGCAACCACAGAAGACAAGATCCCTGAGACCAGTAAAACATATTACTGAACTAGATAACACAATGGAGAGAAAGTAACATTGGATAGTATTGCTTTGACTACAAGACAGACATTTTGGTGGTTTTCTTTCATAAGTACAAATCTTTTAGAAAGAACTGTGTATGCATGCGAGATTTGAGGTTCTTAAGGCAGTTACTATGAAGATTACTGCCTCCTAGGATATGATACCATGTAACTTGGTACAAAGATACAAATGTTTCAGCTGCATATGCTGCCTTCATCTTCAGGGTACAATGTGGAAGCCTCTCACCCACTCTGTGAAGGAAAGGAAAAAGGTCCTCTCCAAGCACAAACCAGGCACTTTCTCCTAACCAACCTTCCTTACCTGGGTCCTTGACAGCAAGAGCTACTTCCTCATCATCCATAGGGACCCTGAAAAGGGCTGTCATTTTCCCTTTTCTGTCAGAATTCTACTTTTCCTTCTGAAAACAATATTACTGTGTCCCTGGAAAGGAGGATCATTTCTCCCTCTTCCACTTCCCATCCACAACAAAAACAGATTCTTGGTGGGGTGAGACTGACTACACTTGGTACTGCGGCCACTACTGACCTATTGTACCAGCCCCGGATGATAAATAATGAGTGTAGAGCAACTGGTGGAAGGAAGATTGGCAGGGAACCAAAGTACTTGGAGAAAACCTGCCCAGTGCCACTTTGTCCACCATAAAAATCCCACATGACCTGATCCAGGTTCGAACTCAGGCTGCCGTGGTAGGAAGCCAGTGACCAACAGCTGGAGCTATGGCACAGCCTGACAAGAACAAAAACAGGTAGTATGCCCCTTAAAAGAGTCATCTTCTTACTCATCTTTCCCACTGACCCACCTGAAGCTCCTTTCCCCACTCCCTCCCATGGGCCTGAGTGATCACCTTCCTTCCGGTATCCTGAGCCCATTCCTGAACCTACACACTTCAACCCTGTTGATGGAAGGATATCCCTCCGAAATTTTGATACCCAACTACAGGACTACATACTGTTACAGCACAGAAGACCACAATCTGAACAATCAATCGAGGAAAACCTCATAATTTATATTGCCAACTCTGGTTACTTATTGATCCCCCAAAGGTTTGGGGACAGTGATTTGTCCATTATATAAATATTATGATGGACTGGTCCATGATGTCAGACATGTTTAAAATACATCTGCATATTTTAAACAGACCTAGACAATGGCCAATGTCCAACATAACATTTATTTAACCTGAGATTTATGATGTTCACTGCAGTGCATACAGAACACCAATGTGTCCGCAACAATGAGCATGTTCTTACCTGGAAAGCCTGCATTATCTCTGGGTCATTGAGGAACTGATAGAAATCGCCCATGCCTGGACCCCCAGAACTATCTGTATCAGCTTGTGGTCCTGCATTCTTGGCTGCCTTCTCATGCTCCTCCCGTGCTTTGCGAGCCCTGTCCAGCTTCTCCTTCATTTCCTTCTCTGCACGCCTGCGCTCATACTTTCGGCGATGCTCTTCAAGTTTGCGTGCCTGTAAACAAAGGAAGATGGAAGGTCTTCTCATGCCAAGTTTTACAGCTGAATGACGACTTGCCCAAAGCAGGCAGATTCCACTTGTTTTTAACACAGTCTGAAAGGTCCATGCAGCAGCCATGTTGCTCTTACTCCCTCAGCCAGCCTGAGATCCTCGCTATATAGCATCAGAGCGGACCCAACAGAAGACACTGCCTCCAACAGTCCCTCTACTGTTCTTATGGGTGGTTGCCAAGCGACAGCCTGGATATCGTTTAGGCGTGAACGTGTTAACTGAGACGTTACCGAGCAATGCATGTTCCTTCTCGCGACTGTTGCACAGCAAGGGTACTACAAGTTAAAATACTTGTATATACTGTGATACAATGTTGGAAAACCAAATACGGAAAAGGTAAATTTGTCTCTGTGCTTACAGAATTAATCACTGTACCATGAAGACGCACAAGGAATAGGAGGTATAGCCCCACCATTCTTGACCTTGGAACTAGATGGATGTGAGCTGTTAGCTCCATGCTCCGGTCGCTTTATCCCAAGAAAAGTCCCTGGTACCCATTTAATAGGAGGCTGAGTATGATCCAAAGCCGTTCTGGACACTGTGGGGTAGGGAAAAAATCTCTTGCTCCTGCCAAGAATCGAACTCCGGCCGTCCTGCCCGTAACCCGTCACTATACTGACTGAGCTATGAAACAGTCTAATATCTCACACTAATCATGTCCCCCCCAGCCAACTGTTGCGCTTCCTTCCAAATCCTTTCCAATTCATTAGTCATCCGATGCAATATTCTAGAAATTGAAAGTGTCTTTACAGTATCACCCCTCCCCCAAAATAAATCTGAGCACACGAACATGTTTTTCACCTATATTCTGCAGGTTCTCGGTTCAATGCTGTTAGGGACAGTACCATACAGTTTGTCGAAGACTGCTTTCATCAACACAGGCTACAATCCGCTATTCACTACCGACCAAACATTCACCGCAATGCAGTCTGAGTTCCTGACAGCGTCATTAAATAGATTACAAACAAAATATCAAACATTCTACTGGCACTTCCTCTTTTCGTGATATTTCTGGCAGACTCTGTCAGTCAGGTTTCATGTTTCAAATAAATTTAGACAGCAATTACTGGGTAATCTGGCTCACGTAGCAACGCTTCCAACCTGTAATCGCGAGGTACCCAATTCGAATTTCGGCTGCGATACCGGTTATCGTTTCATCGTGATTTTTCTCAGTCTTTTCTGGCAAATGCTGAGACAATACCTTAAATTAGACCGCAAACTGCTTAAGTTCAAATTCTCTGCAATATAGTGTGTCCAGATAAAAGGTATCCAAAATAAAAAATTATATCTCTGAAACTAATTGTCATACATGTATCCAGTTTATGTCGTCGGAAAGGAAAACTCTGAAAGTTTTTTTTTTTTCCATACCGGCTTACGTGCATACGCCGCCACATTTTTGCCACCACGTTATGAATCACATGGACAGAGAGATGGCTAGGATATGAATTGGCAGCAGAGGTGCACCAATCGCTTGGCCTCCTAGGTCGCCAGATTTAACCCCAGTGGATTTTTTCTTGTGGGGTTATGTGAAGAACATTGTCTACCAGGTTAAAATCAACGATCTGCAACACCTGAAAGCCCTCATAAGGGACGCTGTAGCTACGGTAACACCAAACATGCTTCAAGCCTGGATATTTGTCGTGCCACCAAGGGAGCCCACATTTAAATGTATTGAGAAAGTTATAAAAGCAGAAAAAACTTTGATATTTTCCTTTTGTAATGGTGTAACCCACAAATGCGTATAATAAATTCTTTCTGAGACATAACGTTTTTATTTTGGATACCTTTCATCCGGACACCTGTATTTCATAACCACTTGATGCTACACAGTCTGAGCTATTGTCAGCGTCCTTAAATAAACCACAAATAAAATCAATAGAGGAAAATTAGAAGACATGTCTACTTTTATTTCACACTGGAGATATAGGGCAAGCATAATGAACATTTATGCTGTGCCTTACATAAATCCGCAGTGTCACTTTCGGCCTAGAACTGCAAGCCACAGAATTTAACGTGTATAGTAAAGCAAGAGGAAGATGAATACAGTGAATGAGGGACTTTAACAGGGGCAGTGCCAAAGGGATTCTCAAGAAGGTACACACAATGTAGCAGTAACCAAGCAATTGTAAGGAACAGTAACAAACTGTTCTTCCAATTCATTCGACCCATTTTCATCGACCTCATATAAAGTTAGAGGGGAATGGGTGTGTGACATCAGGAACTAAGTTGGGATCTGTCCAGGTGTATCAACATGCTCGCGGGCAGTTACGCCACGCCACACCTCCTCAAACTCGCGACCAGCGCTCGTAAGGTTCACTGCAGGAACAGGACGTCTGTGAGAATTCATTTCGCATTTTCGTTTCACGCTGCAAATACTACTGTTAGTGTATCAAAGTACAAAGGAAAAACTTAGTCCCCCTATTACCGTATTTACGCATGTATAGGCCGCAGAACAATTTTCAGACAGAAATTATAGAAAAAATAATTTTCTTGGAATATTATTTCAGGAGTAGAAATTATTCCGAAATTTGGCAACGTTAATTTTTTTTAAATGAAGTGTGATTTCGAATATTTCGAATATAAGCCACACCCCAGTTTTCCTCTTGAATTTTTGGCAAAAAATGTGCGGCCTATACATGCGTAAATACGGTAATTAAACACAACGCCAAGAAGAGAGATAAGGAAAGCCACCAATCTTAACCTCGGCAACATATGAACGTCAGTAGTTGGTTTCACGACCAGGCCGCTTTATTCCCCGAAAATAGCCACCGTACCCACTGGATGGGAGGATGGGTGGGCTTGAGAACCAATATGGACTCTGTTCAGAAAAGAAAAATTCCTTGCACATACCGGGAATAGAACCCAGATTCCTCGGCTGTCCAACCCGTAGCCTGTAGCTGTAAGTTCCATAATAAAATTAACTTTTAAGACATGTTCATGTAAAGCGAAAGAGTACAGAGAATATTATGTAACAGACACATTCACAATTTGCACACCTCATCTACTAAACTGTATGAGACACTGCAGTAGATATGACACTGTGAATATTACTTCGGTAGCGTAGTTGGTTAAGGCACTATGTTACAAACCGGAAGGTCGCGGGATCGAATACCACGGATCACAGGAAGGCAATGAGGATGGGTAAGGAGGGGCAGAGCCTGGACCTAGGTGCATACCGTCATGGCAACGAGTTTCTTTGTCAGTTTATTTACCAACGTTTTATCAAGGGCACATGCTTAACGCTGAATGACAGGATTATTATAACATACGGAGCTGGCCCTGAAAACAAGGACTGAGAGAAAAACACAAAGAATGTCACGAGAGTCGGGTGGCCGACGCGTCGCGTTCGAGCCCACTTGCTCCGCAGCGTGCGTGGGAGAAACGAAAAATGTATACAAGATTTTTCGTGGAAACCCTGAGAGGATATCCATGGAGAGGAGGTAAGGTGGAGTTGTCCCTGTGTTTAACTAATTAAGCACCTACGCCATGAAGGTGTATAGGGGAGTGGATGTATAGGTCCACATTTTCTTGACCTCGGCACTAGTCGGAGGTGAGTGGTCCATTTCACGCCCCTGCCGCTTAACTCCTGGGAAAGAGCCCCCGCTACCCATTGGATGGGAGGCTGGGTGGGCCCCAGGGCCGGTCTGTACGACGTGAAAATATCGAGACTCAGACCCCTCAGACTGAAAAGGATTTGGAAGTGGTCGTTGCCTATTTCAAGCCACTAACCCGGGATTCATCTGGAGGGGCTAAGGAATACCACGACTTCAGCCAGGACAGTCGTTGCCCCGGCTGAGTTTCGAACAAGATCCTCCCGAACAACCAGAAGCGTCATCTATTGAGCCAGGTTGCTCGGTGAGAATTCTTTCCCCGGTCAAATTTCGTAGGCCGCTGAAGCCAGTGTTCGCTTGTACTGCTGCGTCCTGTCTGTGCCTAGCAGGTACACAGTCGTTTGTTATAGCAATTTCAACCGAATCATTAAGATCGGTAACTATGATGAAATGGACACCAACTGGAATCGAACTTTGGGATGCGGCAGCAAAAGGCCGCGTGCGGTGCCGGTGTAGCTGATCCGGCGAGGAGTCAGTCTGCCACGGCCCCGCGTGCCTTATAAGGACCGGGGCTAAATATAAAGCGACGGGCACGCCACAGCCGGGGCCCCGTCGGCAACTGCATCGGCGACTACACCTCCTGACTGACTTGGCTCCATGCTCTCAGGGGTGGACAAGCTGGCAGTTAACTATGCCACTGTCACAGGGAATTCTGAAAACTTCATCACGAATATCTAACCTAAACATCTCGTAGAACTGCGAGTAAGTAACTACGTTTGCACCAAAACACTAAACTCTGTACAGTGACTAGGCTAGAGCTGCGGGGTCGAGGAACCTGGGTTAAACTCCTGGCTGGGGCAAGGGATTACTACTCCTCAATGCACAGGGCCCAGACCGACTCCGGGGCCCGCTCTGCCTCCTACTCTATGGATACAAGGGCCCATCTTCCCTAGGGCAAAGCAGCCGGGATGTGAAGCCATCTTCCCTAGGGCAAAGCAGCCGGGATGCGAAGCTGACCGCTTACCTCCTTCAAGCGTCGACGTTAAGAATGCGTGGAGCTATACCTCCAGTCCCCCACATGTCGCCAGGGCACAGGGAAACGTACTTTTATTTCACACTGACACTATGCTCTAGGTGGTCCGGCTGTCATCCATTTACACTCATTTTATCGAACTTTTCTTTCTGTTTTTATTCTTGTACTAACCTTTGTTCGTTGTTCTACTGTCACTTTCTTTTGCCTTTTATTAATACGTCTATTCGTAGCGAGCTCGCATAGAACAACCTGCATTGCAATTTCAGAACTAAATTTTGTTGAGATGACCCGGGGTAGCGTAGGCGGTATAGCGACTGGTTACGGGCTGGACAAGCGAGGGGTCGGAGTTCGAGTCCCAGTAGGATCAAGAATTTTCACTAAATCGTCCAGATGGGCTCTGGGGTCCACCTAATCTCCTATCCAATGCGTTCCAGGGGCAAAGCTACCGGGGCGTGAAGCTGACCACACCTCCAGTTAGTGCCGAGGTCAAGAAAAATGTGGATATATACATCCACTCCCCCATACGCCTTCATGGCTTAGTGCTTAATTCGTTGAGCACAGGGATAACTTTACCTTTGGCTTTTACTTCTGTTGAGAGTACTATCTTCTGGTGTGTGACGTCGTGTATTCTGATTACCACGCTTCCAAGGAATGTACTGACGCCATCTTCAGGGTGGACCCTGAATACTGAGGCGGTACGTTGCTCCGACATGTCGGCGAAGTGACCAGGTGTCATCACATTCCCCTCATAGTGACTGCAGCGAGAGCCTCAACGTCTGCATGTCACTGGACTCACGTACACGTTTCATTACCATGGTTACCACTTGCCGTCACGGTCCCAATGCCTTTCTTGGACTCCAACCCATCGTATGACAGCAAAATTAATATTTCCCTGGGTTCCCTCTCCAAGACGAGCAGTCTTCCTGTTTTTAATTTACCTTTTTTTTTACAACTAGCTGTTCAGGGAGAAGAGGGGTGCAACTTTTCGCGATAAAAATAAAGTTGTAATTAAGCACCACGCCATGAAGATGTGTTGAGGAGTGGAGGTATAGCTCTACGCACTTAGATGTTTGGATAGGAGACAGGCGGGACGCGAGCTGCAAGAGGTTGTGACGTTATCGCCGCTAATACCAAAATCCACTATTCAGTCAGTTCAATCCAATCATCCCGACCTACCGGCCCTATCTTAGGGGTTGAAGAGTGAACCAAGCAAGCTGTTACTGCTTGCTTCTTACTGGCTACCTGCTTGGTTTACTATCGACCCTGAAGATGGATGCAGGTTGTTCCTGAGAAACGTCTGTGATCTACCGGACTACACGGCGCCACATCCCACGGTTACCGCTATGGGAATCTCAAATCCTGCATACTTTTATCAAATTTAGTAAAGATCTTGGTAAATGTATACTGACTCACCCATGGAGCTGACCCCTTCTGGAGCCGCCAATTGTGCAGCTACTCAAGAATTTCCCAGCATTTTATGGAAACCGAAGGTTCATTACCGTGTTCACAAGAGCCCTCCACTGGTCCCTATCATGAGCCAGATCAATCCGATCTATGCCATGCCATCCCATCTTATCTCTCTAAGATCAATTTTAATATTGTCCACCCACCTACGCATTGGTCTTCCCTGTGGTCTCTTTCCTTCTGGCTTTCCCATCAATATCCTATATGCATTCCTTGTCCCGCCTATTCGTGCTACATGCCCTGCCCACCTCATCCTCCTTGACTTCATCATTCTAATTATACTTGAAGAAGAGTACAAGTTATCAAGCTCCTGTATTACATTCAAATATTTATTTATGGGTCATAATTGATCTGTTAGCTAATGCTCGAATGCATATGCAAAATGTTAAATCCTGAAGGTAATACGAACCCGAAAAGGCCGATTAACTCCCAGATTCAAACTTGTACTTATCACTTGGGTGGATCTGTGGGCCCGTTGCAACTGCGACATGAGACAGCCGGACTTTTGGATGAACTGACAGGCGATAAACAGCCGTGCGGACAAACATAGGCCTACAGAACACTGTCCTCTGGGATGTGACGCAATCTAATCTGATAAACGTTTACCGACGTACTCTTTCCATCATCATGGTAGAAAATTCGGAAACGTCACCAGACTACAAGGCGACACATCCCAGAAGGCAGATTTATTCACGTTCACCTCCGTGAAAGCAAACCACAAATATGGGGAGGCTACGTCCGCAGGTTCGAAACCCTTCGAGCTGAGAAAGCCAAATTATTCTTCGGTCAGCTTTCCATCCCTCCGTAATGTCAGCAAAGTTCTACCAGATCACACGGCGCCACGTATCAGATGACTGTATTCCTCACAGCCACAACCGTGAGAATCTCAAAGCATTTTCTTCTTAATTTTGTTTTGGTTGCTGCTGGGAGCCGGAACAGTTCAGTCGGTATAGCGACGGCCTAGGCGACTGCAGTTCGATTCCCGGAATAGGCAAGAGATCTCTCTCTACTCCACAGCGTCCAGACCGGCTCTGGGGCCCATCCAACCTCCTATACTGGAAGATATGGAGAATTGAAAATTCTTGCCGCCGTCGGGACTCGAACCCCAACCTCTGGGTCGTCCAGCATACCGCCTGCGCTATCCCGGCATCGGAGGTTATTTCGCAAGATTTAAGCGGCCGGGGCGCGAAGCTGACCATAGACCTCCATTTATTGCCAAGGTCAAGAATTGTAGAGCTATAACTCCTGTCCCTTATAAGTCTTCATAGCGTGGTGCTTAATTAATTAAGCACAGGGACTTCACCTTTTGGTTGCTATCGCCCATCTTACCTTATTGGCATAAACGGTTTGTGGCACTAGTATCGCTTTGGCTTCCTGTACGTAATGGGTGCTTTAATTTAGGTGGTCATGAATAACAGACTCTGCTACATACAAAAAAAAAGTTAATGGCTGGTAAATCTCTTGGGTAGGTCACTATTTCCTCTCCTTGCAACACTGGCACACGACACGGGGCATGGACGAGTAACTTTTGGGTGCAAGAACACAAAGCATCGCGTTGTGCCGCTATTCCTTGGCCGAATCTGCAAAAGAAACCCACCCAAATGCCAACCATACCACGCACACAAAAGTGGGGCTTTTGGACTCAATAGCACATGCGCAATTCTCAATCGGAGGACATACATCTAGGGCTTATATACAAATGGGACTCAAGCATCGCAGGGACTAACAGCAAAAGTCACAAGTACAAGAACATACAAGAAGTTCTAACAAAAATGTAACGCAAATATATTTCTGGACATTATACATCGTCTTGCCGTTATATAAAAACCGTCCTCTTTATTTTTCAAAACACAACGTTTCGGCGACTGGATTCTGTCTCCGTCTTCAGGTAAAACCTACTCAGTTCGGCCCAATCGCCAGAGCTAGTCCCTATCTCCGGACCTCCCACCACACGTGTATGATTCCGAAACCCGGAAAACGGAAGTCCCTGAGACGCGCTTGTCTATCATGCCACACACGAAGAAGACTGACTTCCCTTAACATGCACGACGACGCCTCCACGGCTGACAAAACAGCAAGTGACTGCTACCAAAAGAATCCCTTCACAGCTTCCGGCAGGAAGACACAAGCTGTCAGGCCCAGAAGATAAATGTGTCTGGATTTCCTGACTCACGAGGATTCTCGAACTGTTACCGCAGAGAGAGAAAGAGAGAGCAACTGTGTAGACCAAGTGAAAGGAAGTTGTGCGGGGCATGGTGGAAGACGCAGAAGGTGAACCTGGCAGTTGGAAGCTTCCAGCTGCTTCTTTAAAGGCAGCGCCCAGACCGGCTCTGGGACAAACACTGTATCCCATACAAGAGGTACAGAGTGGCCTTCTTTTCCGGGGTAAAATGGCAGAGGCGTGAAGGTCACCAATTACCTAAGTATAGGGTCGAGGTTAAGAATACATGGAGCTGTACCTCCACTCCCCGGGCAACTTCATGATGTGTTGCTTAAATTATGCACAGTGACAACTTATTTGTCAGACTTCCACTGTATACATGTTAACACCGCTGTCCTTTCGATAGCATAAGGATGCTTTATTCACTAAGCATGTAAATTGTATGTGGCTATAAACTCCGTGGCCTGTAGTCGGCAAGCGAACTATACCGACCGAGGGGCGGCAGCTTGTCGGGGAAGTTAGTGCCAACTTTGGCGGATAGAGGGTGTCGCGTGGTCAGCGCAGCGGATCCCCACGGCCGTTAATTTCGGTTTTCTAGACCGGAGCGCTATTTCCTTGAAATAGCTCCTCAATTATCCTCACGAGACTGAGTGGACCCCGTTCCAGACCCACTACTTCTCAGAAAAAAATCTGGTAGCGCTGGGAATCGAACCCGGACTTATAGATCTGTAGCCAGGCACTCTGACCACTAGACCACAGAGGTGGTCATCAACATTGTTAAATCACCAAATGACGAATAAGTACGCCGTGCAAGATCGGCAACTTCTTCGACATATATGTCATGCTTGTTGTCTAAACACCACTTGCAACGGCGTTAACCCATCAATAGAATTAATCAACTAAGCTCACGGCAGTAATTCTCTCGCCCGTTGACATTTTCGTCCCACCGGCCATTCTGTCAAATACTCGCAGGCCCGCCACCGTAAAACATAAACTTCAATATTATCTGATCATTAATGCAGTGATTGCGGAAGTGTGGGGCGCGACTGGTTGGGGAGAGGGGCCGGGCATTCTGGGAACTGAACTACTTACAATTCTCAAAATGTCATTAACATTTCATCCTATACAACAGGAACCAGGGGATGTTTCCCCGCGGGGAAAGCGCCGGAGCATGAAGCTAACTGCTCATCTTTAACTAGTGCCGAAGTCAAGAATGTTGGAGCTATACCTCCATTCTCCTACACGTCTTCATGGCGTGATACTTATTTCATTAGGCACTGATACATTACCTTTGCCTTTTATGACACAACGGAAGGCGAAGATTTGCCTAACAGCATTAATCGACTGTAACAGGGGCATACCGCGCGGTCTTCGCTCGCTCGGACGCTGGGATCGTAGGTTCGAATCCCACTCAGTGCATGGATGTTTGGTATGCGTTTATTCTGTNGAAAAACGGTTGGAGCACGAAACTAATCATTCGATTTTATGTAGAAACGAGGTTAAGAACTCCGTATTTCTCGGCGGTGGCACGCTTAAGAACTAACATTTTCATATTTCTTTATTGCGGTTCTAAAGCCCTCCAGACTAAAGCGAACAGAGTTTGTTAGATCACAAATCGACCTTACATCACTCATGCAACAGTGGACCGGCGGCGGAGGGGGGTGGAGAAGACGTCGCAGGTAAAGTGGTGGGGGGGTGCCACGGCTGAGGGATGCTCGAACGTGAAACCAGTCCGTGAGCTGCTTGGGTTGCTTGCTGGTTTAATGACGCGGTGGTGGTGTGCTGTAGTGCGAACGTGTGTGTGAAGTGGTGTGCTGGATTATAAGACCCCCCGCTGCTACCACCGAGTTCATCGCTGTCCCCTTCTGGGGCTATGGCTCTCTCCACAGCGGCCACATACGTGTTACTACTTTTCACGGCCATCGGATTCCTTGTTTCAGGAACTGTGCAAGGTAATGTGATGGCGAAGCAGTACAGTGCACATAAACTATTCCCTAAACCTACCGGTGTAGTGGTTTGCGTCTGAATCAAGCAAGGGGGCCGGGAACATTTTCGTGGTTTCTCTCAGGTCCGCATTAAACTTTCAGTATTAGAAAGACCGTCTCCTCCCAGATCCGCTCCAGTTCAATGTTATAACGTATCCGGGGGACATCCGCTGCTGCTATTAGAACTGTGAGGGGTCTCAAGTCTCCTCAAATAGCGCGCCTGCTGCTGGCACAACGTTTCGAGGATTCACCCGTTTATAAATAAGTGCAGTTTGGTAAGAGCACTGTTCCTGTCACATCCTCGGGTCCATTCGTATCTATAACAGATACCAGTTTATTAAAATGTGTTCTTCAACGTGACGTCACGAAATTGAAGTTAATATTGGCCCAAATGTGCCAACTTTAGCGGACAGAGGGTGTTGCGTGGTCAGAGCAACGGATCCCCACGCCCGTTAATCTAGGTTTTCTAGACCGGAGCCGCTGTTTCTTTGAAATATCTCAATTATCCTCACGAGGCTGGGTAAACACCGTTCCAGACCCACTAGACCACAGAGGCGGTCTGCATAGTTCGCTTGCGCACTGAAGCCAATGAGTTTGTTTTTTCTTGTTTTGTTGTATTGGCCCAAATGTACATGCACGTCCAGAAGCAGTGAGCGTACAAACATCTCATTCAAATTGTGGCCTTCTGGGTCATGACGCCGTTTAACGTAAAGTGGGTCATTTAACGAGGGTGTGAGCATCCTGAATGATAAGATTACTCCATTCGGTGTGGATGAGTTGGTGGAATGAGAACTCGCAAAAGAAATCAGAATACTCAGAAAACAAAATGTGAATCAGTGTTATTCTCTCCATTACAATTCTAACATGACCTGACCTGGCATCGAACTCGGGTAACAATGGTTGAGAAGCTGGCTAACAACCGGTACGGTTCCACACCGCGTAGGGTAGGCAAGTAGCAACGTTTCTGAGAAATATATTGCCTCAATGTTCAGGAAAAGTTATGCTCCACCGAAAGGTTATTACCACGTATCAAGACTACACGGCGTCAGAACCCATAAGACAAGATATCTGCATACACCAGTTTGAGATTTCCGAAACAGAACGAAGTTTAAAAAGAAAGCCCAAAGTTCATATAAATGTGTATACGTTACTCAAGATTTGCACATTCAACAAGCAACAGTTCCCATTTCTGAACTGGTAAACTTTCCGTATATTTCTGTATTTACGTATAACTCGAAGCGAACAGCCGGGGTCTAATTTTAGCCCCCTCCCCCAAACCCTTCCAGCTGAAAATACTGCAGCTCAGTCGGCATGCGCCCTTCAAGAAACTGACATACACACTTGCCTAACATTCAGGCCAAACACTGAGCTGATTATATGCAGACACTCAAAGCGAAATAGGCCTGTTCAGTGCCACGAACCGGAAAACGTGGTCTACATATAAGCCTCGTGCGCTGTACGGGAAAGCTACACGCTAGAACATTAAACAGGATGAGGCAACCAATAACGTAATGAATATGTCGACACCTTGAAGCCGATGAGAGTTCCTCTCGCGACCGACAACACGACCACCGGGGAAAGGTCAAGGTCATTCCGTTGTCACCCGCTCGGGTCAGTAACATGGGCAGTTGCAACACTCAGCAGGAACAAGCAAATCGGTCACAAATATAGTATCAGTGAGGGGTGGGGTGGCAGACTAGACAATAAATTGTAAAACACATAAAGTTTACCCCGCTCTCGTAATTAAAGAAGTACCTAGTACAACGGAAATATGCAGGCAGGTTAGCTCTCTGCGTACCCACGCTCTCGCGGCCACATTTTATAGATCTCGAATGCTTTAATTTTAAACCCCATTCAAACTAGCCCCGAGCGGCCGCGCCATAGCTCAAGCGGTTAGTCGCCGGCTTCCCACAGCGTCGGCCCGGGTTCGATCCCGGGTCTGGTCAAGTGGAATTTCTGGTGTACAAAGTGGCGCTGGGGTAGGTTTTCTCCGAGTACTTCGGTTTCCCCTGCCAATCTTCATTCCACCAACTGCTCCACAATCACCCTCACCTCTCATCTGGGGCTGGTACAACAGGCCAGAAGTGGCCGCAGTACAAGGGTCTTAGGCCCACCCCACTAGCAATAAAAAAAACCTGGCCCTGATGTTTGACGTGAGAACTACATTTATTTAGCGTCGTCTACGCCAGCGCTACACGCGACAGTTTGCGATTGCTGTCTGCGGTAATGTGATCATCAAGGTAATAATGCGCACAATCTTAGCGTGATGTTTCTCTCTAATTAGAAAACAAGGGCTGAAGAGTACTGGGCCCCAAGAGAGAAGAGCGAAGAGAAACGAAAATTACACAGCCACAAAATGACTATCATACATATTATTATTATTTATTTTAATTGCAAATGGATTTTTACCCGGTGGCGGTAGTACTACAATAAGACATAACACACAAATAACACACGACGCTCAAACAAAACACAGCACACAAAAGTACACAAACAATAAAGGACGCACCACATATAACGAATACAATGCAAATATAATTACAACTACAACACAACTATAATTAAATAAATAAATATTAATCAAAAGTAAACATACATTGCCGGTCACGGTAGCCGAGCGGTCTAAGGCATGTACTGTCTTCGCTCGCTTGGAAACCGGGATCGTGAGTTCGAATCCCACTCAGGGCATGGATGTTTAGTTTGTGTGTATGCGTTTTTCTGTGTTTGTGTACAGGTAGAGGCCTTGCGACGAGCTGATCACCCGCCCAAGGAGTCCCTACCGTCTGTGTAAGATCTAGAAAAACCCGAAGTGAACGGAGAAGTTCATGGAGGTAGGCCTAGGCCCACTGGGGATGTAGTGACAAGGGGGGGGGGAAAGGGCGGCCGACGCGTAAGGCTGACCTCTCCGCCATCTGTGAGCCGATTGTTTAGATAGTGTGGGAGCCTCAACATCTCACAACCCTATGGGCCTCCACGGCCAGTTACAGGGATACCTTTACTTTTTACTTTTACGTTAACACTGGTCACTATCTCAGAAAAGGGTCAAATTCTGGGCTTTCGTGACGACGGTGACGTTAAGTTAGGAGGAGGTATACCCTGAACAGGGTCACAATCGCTAACTAGGCGGCGAAGACCTGCAAGTCGAGGAAACACGGTTCATTCGGGCACTGACCTGTTTCGGGCGCATTAGAATGAGTTAGTCGCTAAAACAATCTCGTGAAAAGAGGTTAAGCACGTGGAAGCTATTCTTAGAAGTTATATCCATCATTCCTCTATGCAGAGTTCCACGGCTTCTGCATTCTCATTCATAAAAGTCGAAGTGTTGCCTCGGACCAAGGTTATCGCCCCGCCATCGCTTTTTTCAGGGCTCAGTACAATTCTGCGAGATCGTGAACTAAATTGTGAATTAACTCAAGCATTGACACAGGGCGATCAAAATTACTTTCAGGAGGGCAATTTCTCTTTCCAGACAGACCCGACAGAGAACGTAACTTTGAAAACTAACTTACATTCAAGACAGACCTAGAAAAGTGCGCATTTTCACAACATTTTTCACCTGTATACTATTCCTGCTTTATTTAAGGTATATTTACAGATCCTGTCGTAGCTCAAGCTGCGGGGTGTCGAGTGTGGCTAGTGAATTACTCTGAAAGGAGGGGAAAACAAGCGATGGCGGCCCAATATCTGAGTTACTACTCCGGCATTTCTGTTGACTGATTACAATCACGAACCCCCCACCCCCACCTCACACCCAGTTACAACAGGCGGTGTCCCGTGCAGGCTGTCTCGCGAATGGAAGCTAAACGTCATCCCTTAAGCTCCTGCTGTACAAACAAAAAAAAATAATACCGTGGCTTGAGTCTGCAAGCGAACTATACCGACCGAGCGACCGCCGCTTGTCGGCGAAGTTGGTGCCAACTTTAGCGGATAGAGGGTGTCGCGTGGTCAGCGCAACGGATTTCCGCGGCCGTTAATTTCGGTTTTCTAGACTGCAGCTGCTATTTCCTTGAAATAGCTCCTCAATTATCCTCAAGAGGCTGAGTGGACCCCGTTCCAGACCCATTAATTCTCAGAAAACCTGTTAGCGCCGGGAATCGAACCCGGACCTCTGGATCTGTAGCCAGGAACTCTGACCACTAGACCACAGCGGCGGTCCCCTGCTGCACAACGCGACGCAACATAATGCGTGTTTACATACACAGATGTACCCGGCTGTCAGATCCAGCTCTACAATAGGGCCCTTATCGGAGCATTACATTTTATATTCTTATTCCCATCTTCAGTCGTTAGTAATGTCCCTACACTGCTAGTCCTCGCTTGACGATGATTTCTGCTAAGAAAGTCGCTTATGCAAACTTTTAAACTTAGGCGCACACTAAAGCGAACTCTCCCTTCGGAACAAAAACGGGCACGTGTGAACGGAAACGAAAACGGAAACAAACGCCCCAGTCAGCTCGCCTTACCGCCTACTCCGGTGTGCTTTTGACCATTTTCAACCTTCTGCATTGGTATTTTATAGCATTATCTGGTTTCCGCGCTAATCTGTTTCGATTCAGGAAATAGAAGTGGTGGTTTTGTCTTTTTTTTTGTCATTCGGGAACGTAACCCAAAATTACAACATTATGCGTATGGGAAATAGCAATTCGCATTACGCGCTCTCTCTAGGAACGTAGATACTGCCTATACTTATGAATTAGGGGTCGAAGATTCAGATTCAGCAGAATGGTTCAACAAATGACCTTAACTTACGGCACCTGGGCATCAACTGTGATCCTCCAACTAATATACACATAACGCACCGTCAACATCTATACCATTACTATCATTATTATTATTATGCACACATAATTTGGGCACATGTTTCGACTTTAGTGGTCATCATCCAGGCATAATACATTCATTTTGGCGATACTGCTGTTATGGTTTAATTGCTAATACTGGCCAGTGTTTGGTTAGTGGCATTCTTG